ATCCAATCAGATACAGAAGAGACACACCATCTAACTCTTTCGTAAACCATACTCTTCGTATTTCATACTCCATTCCTAGTATACGTAGTGCTCCGATCGGGTTTACCCGAATGACCCGAAACCAACCCGGTTATAATAAATTTATTAGATGGGTCGGGTTGGTTTCGGGTCATTCAGGTCAATCCATCGGAGCACTAGTAATACGTAATACCTGCAATTGCACAGAAATATCAATTTATGATAAATTTAGGGTAAATGTTTTAATTGAGAAGGGGCATTTAATAAAAGTTAATCAAACAAGTTATCATTATAGATTTTCATTTTCATCACAAATACTAATAAAGGTAAATTTTCGGAGTTAACCCATAAAATTATGCATATCTATAGGCTTATAATTACCCGAATTAACATATCAGGATAATTGAATACCTATCGCTATCTCCAAACAAACTTATAAAATTGGATTTAAGATTTTTCTAATACATATATCTATCTTATCATAAGAAAAGATAAGACCTAAACTAAACTCTAATCTAATACATCAAGAAAAAGATAAATTCATATCCATGTTTGCAACACTAATTTATAAAAGATGGTTCTGCAAGTGCCAGGCACGGGCACTATTAAAACATAGTACCAGGAAATCAGAATAGTACGTACAGCCTGCAAAAGGAAAAATTTATCTGTCCAGTTATTTTCTAGTAACACAAAAAAGATAGCATTAACTGATAGAAATTGGTTATTTACAAAAAATTTTATTTCCATATTTAACCGTACATACGATCAAATTTTACCTCATCGTAAAAATTATTTCTGCTAATTGCTTAAGTTCGTCATTGTTCTTTGGTTGACACCAATATCAAGTTTAAGCTGAAGCTTCTCGAAGCTTAACCTTATTCATTATCACAATAATTAGGTAATCTACTATTTATACAATTTAAACTTTAAATTTGCGTTACATCTCATTAAACACTAATTTTTATATTTTATATTAGCAAAGTAGTACATATAAAACTAGTAATATGCCAAATATTTATTAATCTAAACGATGCATATGTGTTGATACGTACGAACTTAACTAAACGAAAACATATTCGGAATATCTGTTTGATGCAGAGTTGACAAATTTTCTAAGTAGTTTTGCAAAATAAGGCATTTTATCAATGAGATAAGTATGTAAAAAAAATTAAATAAATTCTAATACATTTTACGTAAATAATAATGCCCCCTTAAACCCCCTTTAATTAAATTTGTAAAAAAAGATAATGCAAAATCTATGCTCTAGTTCTTGAAAAATAAGCTAACTTTGTTTGTAAAGCTTCCTTTCACACAAAAAAAAACAAATCAAGTACTAAATTCGGAAATTTTTGAATGAATATATCATATACGTAATTTCGAAAATACGTATACGTACATACGTACGTACATACGTGCGTGGATGGGGTCTTTACTAGAATTTTTTTTCTAAAAATAGATTTATTTTGATTCTCTTAATAAAAATCGTGTGTAGCTTGCAAGGTAATACAAAATTTAGAACGATAACAAAAACGCATATGGATCAACAAGTGAGCTACATAAACTTAGAGGAAATGTGTGAATTTCGTCTACAATATTGTTGTTTAAATACAAAATTGGCAGAGTAAATTTTATTTTTAACTTTTTAAAAAAAAGTTGCGCCAAAAAATTTAATTTACTAATAAAAAATCGGATATATTATACTATATTTCCGCCAATTTTTCAGTACTACTTAATACCAATTCCAAAAAAAAAAATCTTTTGCCACTAAAGTGATTCTTTTACCTTCTTAATTTGAAAATGATAACTTATTATAACCATGTTAAAAATTTGATTGACAATAACATAGTTGTATTAATAAAAATGTCCAATTTAGTTGGCAAACATGAATCCTACAAAGAGCAGAAAGAAACGTTCTATAACGGGACAAAAGTAACCTTAATTTTGTTGAACAACATAAAATTAAACCAAATTGATGTCAAAAAAATCAGTATTGAGGTATGTTCGTATGTACATTACGTATTCGATATTATTATGACATGGCTTGTTTGTCGAAACAAGCTTATAAACTTATAAAAAACAAAATAGAAAGAGCTTGATAGAAATGAAATAGATAATAAATATTGTATTATTGCTACTAAATGCGTCCTGGTTAATAAAAATAAACACTTTGAGACTAGCATATATAATAAGTATGTACAATAGTATGTATAATAGTGGGTAGAATAATATATTAATATTATGGACTTTATCGAATTAATAAAGAATGACAGTAAAAACATACTCTTATGATATTTTGAATTTATAAAGAAATAAATATATATGCCATTATATTCATTATATATCATTATATTTCGTTGATATATGTTAGGACTTTGTTTGCACAGTTAAAGCTTACTTAGAGCCCTAAGTCAAATCATCTTATTCACAATATAACATTCAATTAATCAACTTATTTTTTTATAAATAGTTCAAAACTTTTAATCACGAAAATGTTCTTCACGTTTTTGGTTTAACAAATGGTAAGTTAAGTAGCCAATTATTTAAAAATCTGACATGAATAACTTAAATTTAAATTGTATCATAGAAAATGGGAATTTTTATATTGTTCGAGAATACGCTAATAATGGTGACTTACATGATTATATTAAAAATCATCCTCTGATTCCATGGAATGAAAAGATAGCATTAATAGGTCAGATAGTTAAGGGATTAAAATTTCTTCATGATAATAATGTTATTCACTCCGAATTGGTAATAATTTTATTATAACTAACATCAATCTATATATGCGCAAACAATTATAACTATTATATAACATCATTAATTATTATTTTTTTTGTTCTTTTTAGCATCCAAGAAATATATTGATGCATGATTCAACTCCAAAACTAGCAAACATTGGAATTTCTAAAATTAATACGCCCAATAATCTTCCATTCACTCAATATACTGCCCCTGAAATTTTGGCTGAAAAAGATATAAATGATAAAACAAAATTAAACATCTATAGTTTAGGCATGTTATTTTGGGAAATATCTAGTAATGGTGTTGAACCTTTTCAAAAGGACTATGATATATCCTTATCAATTAAGATAATTAATGGTGCTAGAGAATCTCCTATAATCGGAACACCTCTTAAATATATTGATCTTTATGAAGCTTGTTGGGATAAAGACCCTGGTAAATATGACATAATATACACGATTATTTTATATCCATTATCAATTCATTTATATTGACTAACATTGTTGATTATAGATAAAAGACCTAATTGTTCTAAAGTAATTGAAGAACTAAATAAAATTTCCTGTGAACAAGTATATAATGAAAATGCTAAAAATTATGAATGCGGAAATAAATATAAAAATCAAATCGTCATCTCATTAGATTTCGATTCATCAAAAAGTACAAATCAAATCGTTAACCATTTTAAATTAACTAAAGGTCGTAATCGTAATGGTCACGATTTTGATATTACAAAGAACGATATGTTGAAAAATGGTGAAATAAAAACTTGTAAAAAAGAGTGTGTTCCAACAGTCTATTTCGAAAAAAAAAATACAAACCCTTGGGAAATGTTAAATGATATTAGTTCATCTCAATATTCTAATGGTGATAATCTGTTTCCTGACGCTGATACAATACAAATTCATATTCCAATTAGAATTATAGAATATCGTGGAAATCTAAATGATTATTTCATTAAAGAAGTTAAAGATGCGCTCAATATTTTGGATATATATGAAAAAAAGATCAAGTTAAAAGGAATATTAGATGATTATGGGAATTACGTAATTACAAAGTTCACCATTGGTGGCACGATTTATTGTTCAAAAGCTAGTTCTAAAAGCATAGAACACTTACAAACATATCTTAATTGGGGTATTAATTATGCAAAAAATGAATCTCTACCTGTTTTTGAGCTAACTTCACTCGAAGATTTTCCATCATTTGAAACTTTACCATCACGACCCATGAAATGCGTTAATGATTTATATTCTTGGCTAAAAGATTTATATGATTGTAAAAATGTAGCTATTATATCATATGAAGGTTATAAACCATTTTATGAATTATTAGATGACAAATTAAAAAATGAGATATTTGAATGCTTTTCTTTCAAACCCATCAATATAAATCTTTCAAAATTAATTCCACAACTTTCCACCGCATATGAACAAAAGAACTTTTCAGAATGGGCATCAAAACCTTCAATATTATCACATGTACATGATTTGACAAAAAACCTTTCCCTTCAATATTTCATTTCTCCAAAACATTATTCAAACTTAGGATACGGAAAAAGAATCACATTTAAATTCCTAAAACAACCTAAAATTATCCTAAATCATAAAATATTTATTTCATTCATTCATCCTCAAAATCAACATATAACTCATTTATCATATAATGTAGATGAAAGTTCATATAATATTACACCAATAGAAGATTTTAAATGTTCTACACAAATTTATTGTCAAATTACATATCAGGTGGCAGAAATTTTTTTGGATCCATCAAGTATTTTACCTGAGGAACTTTTTTCTAAAGAATTTAATTCATATAAATCATTTGGAAATTATTATAATCATACATTACCAAAAACCTTTACCATTGGTGGAACGTTAACAACACATGAAGCTTGTGGTACTCCTAACATACCTTACAAATTTCCACAAGAAATATTACCAGGAAACATCAATCAAATTTTAGCAGATTTGAAGATTAATAATACTTCATTTATTAGTAATAATGGAAAAATCATTAATAAATATCAAATTAAAGATTGGTTAGAAGGCTTTCTCACTAATCCTATAAATTGGAAAATTAATTCTTTTGATGATTTGTTCGCATCTTATAAGACATTATATCAATTAAGAGAAGATATAGAATTTATTTCTGATAATGAATATCAATTTGTTTTTAATGGTGAAAACTTATTAAGTCGAGATAATCAAAATATTGTAGTCATCAAATTTACTCGTCCACTTATAAACGATAATTATCTTATTTTTGGAAATATTTTAAAGAAATGCTCTAATAATTTGGATGAATCTTGGGAAAGAATTCCAGATGCAACTATCGCATTTAGTAATGTTAATAGATATGGGTGTACTGTGATCATTTACAAAAAGAACAACATAATGTAAGTGTTATAAAATCATTATATTATTATATGGTCAAGAACACAGATCGAATGAAAGATCAATTTAGAATTGACATTAAACATGCATCGATTCTTGAAAAAACATGACGCTTTTCAGATATATATCAAAATTCGTAAACATTTTGATGGTGCCATATTTGAGTAGGATTCAGTGCGTGTTAAGTGTGACACCTTATGCTGAAAATAGTACCTATTTTCCATAAAATTATTAAAGTTTGGGTATATGTAGATTTTATGTGTCCAAATAGAGACTCAAAATTTCAGCTTAAGATGCAACTAGGTATCATTGAATACAATAGTTTACTGATTATTCTATGCTCACCTTTTCATTCGATCTATGAAAATAGCAAACTTTTTTAAGCCACAATTATTTTTAAATGTTCACAACACTAATATATAACCAATATTTACAATTTTGATCAATCATATATATATAAATGTTGTACTCTAGATTAGATTCCTCGGATTGGTACCTATAGTTTAAAATGGTCGGAATAGAATTATCGGTCAGAATTATACTGTATTAAAATTTATTGATCAAAAATTACTACGACAAATTCTAATTTAGAGTACAACATATTTTATTTTATGGTTAATGCTAAAATTGGATCATGCTGAAATATTATGAGATCTACTTAATATTTAATTAAAAACATTATATATTCTAATATCATTTCCATAGTAAAACATTATATATTCTAATATCATTTCCATAGTCTTACATTAATAAGAAATATATTATAATTCGACAAATTAATTAAATCAGCAGTTCTGATAAAAAAAAGTTCAATATGATCCAATTATAGCATAAGCTAACACAATTTGACGGGCTTAAGAAAGTAATTAAATACTGTATATCTTGTTTATTAATTTAAATATTTAAAAAAAAAAGATTAAACAAAGATATAACTAAAATTGAATGGATTGTACTTGCTAAACCAGAAGAATTTTATGTGGATAATTATAGAGATCTTAAAGTTACTTGTGGAAAACTTAATATTGATTCCTCTCAAAATGAAATTATTATCAAGACTAATGATATTTATATGAATGATGCGTTTATGTTTGCACTTGCTTTTAAATCACAAAGCAATATTACCTATTATTATAATTATAATATTACTCTTAAAAATTGGACTAAAAATGAAATTGTTTTAAAAATTCAGAAAGAAAAACAATATCAATATATTTTTGAAGAAGAATTTGAAGATTTTTCAAATGAAGATAATAAGAAACTACAAATTATTAAAGGTGGGATCAATCCATACTCACAGGAAAAGATAATCCTTAATTGGTGTATAATAAATGAAAAGGAATTAAAGAACAAGAAATTAAGTCTGGTTAGGTTTATCCTTGATGATGAATCAAGAAAAGATTTTGATTATCTTGTAGATTGTGACCGAAATGATCTACCGTCCTTAGATACAACTAAAAAAAATGCATTACCAACTAAACATATTAACTTTGGAACATTTAATTTAGGTAGCTTTTCATGTTCAGACAAAAATTCTAAGGAAAATGAATGGAAAATACAGTTGGCTATAAAAACTGAGAATAATGAATCACTAGCAAACAGAGATCACTCAAAGAATATAAAGGCAAGAAATGCACATGCATTAAAAATACCATTAGTTGTCCCAACTTTGAACAGTTTAGTAGATGAAATAAAAATCAATATTTTTAAATTCATATTATATCCGAAAAACCTATCATTAACATGTAAAAGGTGGAATAATATTGTTAATGATTCACAAGCAAGGGCAGAATGGATTCTTTATCATTATGGAAATGCACATTCACTTTTTCATGCTATTAGACTAGGGCCAAGTTTTATAAATACTTTTGTCGCTCAATCTATACTTGCTAAAGGAGGTTTACTTTCTAGATATTTTGCACAAAGATTGTGTATGCATTTTGGTCGATATGATAATAAACTAATAGAACTTAAAATAAGACACATGAGTCAAGTTGATGCAGAAAGAATTAGAAGATTTCAACAAAAACATAATTTACCTTGGGCTAGTAATTTGCCTATCACAGTTTTCACATATCTGGTTACTGAAGCTTCAAAACGTTTTAGTGAAAAAGATCTTGCATTGAAAGGAAATGATTTAGAACTATTTCATTTTTACACTGCAGGTCCACATGTCATAAAAAATGCTCAGAGTATATTAATAAAGAATATGGAACTCATTAAAACACTTATTTATCAATATAAATTTATACCGTTCCCTCCAAGACTTAATTCTAAATCATCAAATACTCCAGAAGAATACCCACCTAAAGACGGTTTTGAGAACAATAGGCAACTAAATGTGATTGCTCGTGCAATTATAATTCATAAAGAATTAGTTAAAATGTGGATTGATATAGGTTATTTTGACATTTGTAAAGATGTGAATGATCTAGTCTTACAAGGAGCAATTTTAATACTTTATCCTCCAATGCCAAGTAATGAATGGACACGCCCAGATGTGAACAAAATAAATGAACGTCTCTCAGAATTTATTGAACTTGGTTTTAGATTGACCTATTCACTCATTTGTGATATCTTTCAATTATTTGAGCATCGATTAGATGATATTGGTGAACCTTTACTTGAATCGTTTTCTTCCCTTAAAAAAGACGAGCACTTTTTCGAGAATTGTATTATAGAAACGATTAAACCACAACGTAATTTAAAGAAAATTGATTTATTAGAATTCTTGTATCGTAATATGAAACAAAATAAGGAAGGAATATTCTTAAATGCAATGAAATTTCATGGATTAGATAATCATTTAATTGATAATGAAAAACTTAAAACATCTACACCTATAAAGTCACTCTCTTTATCACCTATTTATTATTATTGGTCACTTTCAAAGTTTAAATCCAATTCACTTATAGCATCACTTTGTTTTAAAGATATTTTACAAACAAGAATCAGTATCGATATTAAACGACAAAATTCCGATGATATATTAAATGGAATTCAAACTGAAATTGAAATAGCTTGCAACATTTATAATATTTATTGTAATACGAAAAATTTCTTTTTACCTATTTACTTGAATTCAATTGCTCTAGTATCAGATGATGATATACTTGGTCCATTATTCAAAGGATATTTAGCGGAAATATATAAACTTCGTGTTACTTTCCAATTCCCTTTGCCACTCATTGAAATAGAAAATGATGTATTTCCATCTTTACCACCGATAAATGATCATTCCAACGAAGATGATCAAAACGATGATGAAAATAATGAAAATAATGAAAACATTGAAAATAATGATGAAAATGAAGGAAAGGAAAAAAATGTGAAATTAATCAAAGAATGGTCTCCAGTATTAGAAAAGATGAATCATAATATTAATACGGAATCAAATGAAATACAAATTACTGAAGAATTCAAGGCTTATTTTATTGAATTTGCAGAAAAAGCTTTTTAAAAAGTTATTTGTACTTCATTTATTTCTATATAAATAAATATATTTCATTATATTCAAAGAAAATATATATTAAATTTAGATTATTTATTAAGCATGCTGCAAATTTTAAAGGTTTATATGATTTATATTACTGTATTAGTAATCTTAACTATTTTCTCAAATTTATGGAATTGGAAAGTATATTTTATTCATTTTATTGTTATTTATTACAACATATAAATATATTTATTACAGAGATAAATAAAATTATAATTTACAAGAAAAGTTAGTAGCAGCATGATGCCACAGGAATACATACAATTACAGTAAATATATAGTCTACGGATCCGATATTTTTGAGTTATTGCCTCAAAAAATATAATTAGATCTGGTACGTATTTCACTTTTTATGTTATAGAAAAGTCCTAACAACTGTTTAAATCCTTAAATTAGTTTAGATATTTTGGATTATCAAGATCTGAAGATCTGGAAAATTTTTGATCTGTTTAAATTTTAATTATTTCGCTTGATAAAAGTTTCTAAACATAATTTATAAATCAAAATAGCTTTTGCCTATGCCAGCAGGATAGTATAACTAATGTTCAAAAGCATTTAGTTTTATTTTTATATTCACTCCATAGATACTAAAATCCATATCTATATATAGTCATATAATGGATCTTTTTAAAATCATCCAAGCATCATTTAATTATCATTATATACCCTTACATTATTGTCGGCCAGATAATCAACTTTAAATAACGGAGTATCTTAATATAAAAGCCACTCTCTTTGATTAAATATCGATATAATAATTTTGGATTCGAACTCTGTCTCACCATCGGTAATTTAACTGATTTTAATCCTGGTAAACGCTAACTTAAATCAGGCCAGCCCTTAACTATAAATTAGGCAAACTTTAATTGTTGGTAAAATGATTCGAATGGTTTTTTTGTTATAAATAACAAGCTAAAATCTTTTGTACAATATGTATCATTATAAAATAAAAATTACTATTTTTGTCATCTATAAAAGAAAATCACTATTTTTGTTATCTATAAAAGAAAAATGATTGTTTAATCACATTCTTTAAATTATAGTACAGCATAATAAAGCTTCGGACCTAATTCAACAGATAATTTGTCAAACTATGAATATGATAAAGAATAAAAATTAATAGTTATTGTGCTTGGCAAAACAATAAATGAGGCGCTCGAAATGTCTTAATGAAATTAAAAAGGAAAAACCTATTTTTGGATTCATTAATTTCATACGTAGTAATTTGGTGATACAGAAAATATTGCTATTAAATTTTTTTTAATATTGTTAATATTACTTTAATTGGAATAAATTTGTAATTTAAATGAATAATAATTTAAAATTTAAAGGTAATTTACATTGTCATAATAAAATATTTTCTTTTCATCATACTGAGATATAATCACGCAATTAGGTGTTACCATCCAATTAGAGTAATGATATCTATTTTTTATTAATAATTTTCCAGCAGTGTTGCACATTTTGTCTGAATCTCCTTTAGCTTGCAATTTTAATTAATAAAAATTATCAAAATTTTGAGCTAATTCCGATAACAAGACCGTGTAACAAAGAAATAATAGATTTTTGTTCCCCAACATCTGTTTATCTCTTATTGTACGTACAATGTGGTACATAATACGTAAGACCATTATAAATAAATTAAAAGTATTTGATATCATGCGGCACTAAAAATATAACTATTTATGGAATTTTATTAATTTAATAGGTTACAATGAGAAAAGGATAACGTGAGTATAAACAGCTGAAATAGAAAAGTATTATTTCGTGATAAGATGGTTAATAAAGTCCTTTGGAATATTCTAATTCTATCGCAGTTTTCGCGAGTTTATCCGAAAAATGTAGGTGAACCCTTTGTTTTAAGTATCACAATACAATTATTGTAAAAGAAAGTTCATTGGTTATTCATTGGGTGTTTATTATACTTAGAAAGGGACAATTGAAATTAGAACTTCTCTCCTATGTGCTACTTCGATTCAATGACCGAAGCAGTGTTATACACAGGACAACATGCGTACGTATCCCCTGCAGGCATCCCTTATATTCTTTTGCAGACACCTCCCATATTATCTTCCCGATATGGATGGAAATGCTTCGAAAAAATAAGTATCTATAACAATTTAGTAAGGGTTCCAATCCTAGTTCTGAATTACTGTTCTAAACAAAATTCTAAAAAGAGTCCTCAAACGTCTATTCTTTCTTAATTTGGTCGAAAGTGTCAGTTTTGTTTATTGTTTATAATTAGAAAGTGCAGTTTATTCAATTTCCTAGATTAACTTATCTGATAGCATAATTTAGTACTTAATTTAGCAATTGTCTCTTAAACCGTAATTTAGTACTTAATATTAATTTAGCAATCATCCCTTAAACCGTAATTTAGTACTTAATTTAGCAATTATCCCTTAAACCGTTCATTTTAGCGGGAACATTTGCCGCCAAAAATTATTAAAAGAGAATTTACATCTGATTTGAAAATTAGTGAGACACGGGACAAATTTGTGATAATCAAACGGCAAATTTCAGTAATTATTTTTCGATAATAAATAGGGTTTGGAACCGCCTAAAATTTTTCTTAATCGTTTAATCGTTTAACCGTTTAATTTGGCTGATATCAAAATAATTCCGGCCCATGACCAACATAATTCTGTTCGGAACTATGGAGCAATTTTTAAACAGTTAAATGGTTCCAATCCGAAAAAAAAATATAAATAGATTTACCCGTGGTTTCCCGTGATAATTACAATCAAATTACATAAAGCTGCTCGATACGATACGTCGAGGCAGCTTTGTCTCATGACCAGCCATGTGACATGCCCGGTTACAGTCATATGGTAATTATTTACAATCACTTTTTTCTAATTTGTAAGACTATAGAAAAATTAATATGATAGGCCCAATTTATTGCTCTTGTGATATATCAACAACAACGTTGTTGTTGAAAAGGTATATTACGCTTTGTGCATAACGCTATGCAAGAATTTATAACCCGCATAGCAGGTTATATTTTAATCATTATATGAATTTTAA